GTTCTTATCAAATAAAGGAGGAAGTACTTTTCACTAAAATATTTTTAGTCACAGCATTATAATCCATGGATTCTCCATTGTGCAATTCCAAAAGTGAATTATTATTTACTAATATATAATGAAATTTCAATGTTCAAAAAACATCATTAAATGCCTTATAAACCCTATTGGCTCCATAAGGTTTATTAGGGGAGATAAATCACTGAAAATCTCTCTTTATTTCTTCAAAATTTGAGGAAATAAAATACACAAAATCCGTAAATATTGACAGAAACTATGTATTTTAGCAGAGAGAGATTCAGATAATCTGTGCCTTGAAGCTTATACAAATTTGTTTTTTTAAAAGAAAAAAATATATATGCAAGTTGAGATATAAAAATAAACATATGCAAAATGGAAAATAATTTTAAAATCTCAATTGAAAACAAACTCAAGACCTTAAACGTTATAAAATTTATTAGTAAAATATTTTAATTGATGAAATTCAAAAATAATCACATTGTAATGGGTAGTAGAAGTATTCTTATTATACATTTTTTTTTTTTTTTGTCTTTTTCGTGACGGGTAAGGGGATCACACCCCTTGGTGACAACCCTTGGTGTGGTGTCACCCACACCACGCTCAGCCAGTGAGTGCACCAGCCATTCCTATATAGGATCCAAACCCGTGGCGGGAGCATTGCTGCGCTCCCAGTGCCGCACTCTCCCGAGTGTGCCATGGGTTCAGCCCTTATTATACATTTTAAATCAGATTAGAGAGCATTATTCAAAGATGAATGTCATTGATTTTCAACAATATAAAAATACATCATGAACATCAAATAAAGTAATATTAAGTCAATCCTCCCTTAGATGAAACTGACAATGCTTGAAGACATGCCAATGCACCGTGCTATCAGTTGAAGTGTGACAGACTGGAATTTATTTTTTTTTTTTTCCTTTTTTTGTATTTTTTACTGACCAGTAACGGGATCGCAACCCTCGGTGTCGCGCCCACACCGCGCTCAACCAGTGAGCGGGAACCGGTCTCCACATGGGATCCGAACCCTCGGTGGGAGCGCCACCGCGCTCCCAGGCAGTGCACTCTCCAGTGCACCACCAGGCCGGCCCCAGACTGGAATTTAAAATAGAAAGAGAATATGGGCTTAATTGTTCATGGCTAATCTATCTTACATTTTTAATTGTTTTGAGACATATAATTTTGTGAATGCATTGGTAAAATCCCACCAAAGGCCTTGGAGGTGCAAATGAGAGACTCTCTATTTAAGCTTCACTGCCTTGGTGTTATTTCTAGATCTCTCTTTAAGAATATCTTAATTCCACCAGAATTCTCAGATAAAAATAGAAGTGTATTAAAGAAAAACTGTGATGTTCTTGTATAGATAAGATAAAGTCTTATATTTCTATATTAATACCCATATAGTTTTGTTATCAATGAAC